TTGTGCTTTCACTATTTCTGCCATTGTTTACTGCAAAATAGACCATATGGACATACCTAACTCCATTTCTTGAGTTACCTCACACCAATGTATACTCAACACAGAGCTCATATGGGGCCAGACTATGCTACATAATACAGGAGATGTGAAGAATTTGAAGGCTGGGATTAAACTAGTATGAATTATTGAGTCAACAAAAGGAAGGGAGTAAGCTAGAGTGAGAATAAAAAATATTCATACTCTACAGTATTTTTGGAAAAGATTTAGTGTGTTTAATTTGAGAGTTCTGGAGTTCATTTCCCCTAGCTAATTACAGAATGGAATCTTCCTTAATGACTTATTAAAGATGAGTGGAAGTGGTAACAGAATACATATTTTTCTTGCATACTTAGCAATGGAAACATGAACATATAAACTAATCAAGCTTTAAGGGGAACATATGCATATGCCACATAATTTGACAGCCACATCAATGCAGTTCATCTACTAAATGTCCCCTTAGAAGGTCAGAATTAGTTATATTTTATGTCTATGTCATAAACGTAATAGATATACCATTGTGTTCATGCAAGCAGTTAAATATCATTCCTTGTTATTAAGTCCCATAGCTATGTGATAATGTCACTGGAAATTATTATTACAGTAGACAGGGACTTGCATGACCCCTGCTGGGTTGTCTTTTCCAAACTCTGTAAGTGAACCTTGTAATCTACAAAGTCCTTTTGAGAGATGAATAATTAAATTCTTATGATCGTGCAATTTGTTACAATAAGGCAGAAATTCTTATTTTAATTTCCTATCCTGATCTCTGGAAAAGTAACAAAAGCATGCTGGATTCCACCTGGCATTTTTGCTCCTTGTTGCAAGCTGTTTGACTGAATGCAGAGAAATTAATGAGAAATCTTGTCACACTTGAAATAAGACGGTTCTCATTGACTTCAAGACATCTTATTTTTAAAACTAAGGTATTTTCTTAAAGAATAATATAACTGTTTAGTGAGAAAATACTTTGCCTAAACACAAGTTACATGTGAAATGTAGGGCTGCCTTATTTGATAAACCATATATATATATATATATATATATTTACATATTATACTGTAATATACCATATATACATTTTATATACATATTATATAGATATTGTTTCATGGAGCTGTTAGTGACCAAAGGAGAATTTAATGCATAATTTTTGAGGCACACTGCCAAGTGACAGCAATTTTCACTTGTTAAAAATACCTTTTACATTAGGTTATTTAAATTATTACCTATATCTTAGAAGAATATGGAAAGATGGGAAGTAAGTTTTGACTTTAACCCACAACAAATTCAGCAGAAGGATGTCTGGATCCAGTAGAGATACTTGTTGGGATTAGAGGGAAGGAGAGAGCTCACAGGGACTGTAGAGCCTGACCACAGCCAAATGGTGTAGACTCTGCAAGGCTGCAGCAAGCTAAAAGGCTGAAGCCATGCAAACAGGCAATGTTGCCAAAACACTGATCTGCATTTCTTGCTCCCTGTTTGTAGTTTCCAGCCCCAAACAAATCTGTATCATGCAACAAACCAGGTGATAAATGGAGGTGCAGATCAGCAGCTCTCCTTTACACTAGCAGAAAAGATAGTTGCTTCTGATATTAGATACTGTCTCCAGGTTTTGTTGCCTAACAGGTAGACAGATCTATTTCTAGACATTTTTCTGTATCCCCTTTGGGGAAGAGAAATTTACTGTCCTTATGCTCTACACATTTTCATGTGACATGATCATTTCACTTGTCCCCTTTGAAGCAAGGCAGATCTCTTTTACTACAACATTCCATCTATCTCTGAGAAGTAAAATATGGCTCTTAGCAAGATCTGGATATTGTATCCCTCAACAAGGCTACTTCTAATGAAAATACAGCCCTTTAGGCCCTTGCGGTAGCAAAGTATATGCTGATATACAGATGACGTATTTCCTGGTTAGTTGCAAAAAGAATAGTTGCAAATTGCCTTATAAAAATACAAAATAAATCCACTCTAAAAGAGAAAAGTAGTTTTATTAATTCAGCACTTCTCACACAGCTCCTTAGTAAACATATATGTGTTATTTTAAGATAGATACAGTTATATAATGAAATGTAAAAAAACCCCAAAACTTCAACCCAAAACAATTAAAGCAAACCACTGTTTTTTCAAGGGCTAAGAAAAAGACTAAGCAATGACTATATCTAAATAAGGCTTTAACTATTGAAAGCAACAGCTACATTACAGCTCATACATCCATCAGTTTTAACATTCGCGTTTGTGTAATAAAACCTTTATATGTAGAAGTTTAGTTGCTTCACAAGTGTGTGGGAGTAGCAAGTCCTTTCTTTCAAAAAAGGACTTCTCCAGAAAAAGCCCCATGAAGAGTGATTTCTTATTTACCTAAATGTAAGAACTAAAAAGAACAATAAAAAAAAACCAGAAGAGCTGTTTTCTGGAGATCCAGAAGACCTGTTACTTTTAAAATATTTTGCAGGACATTCAGGGTCAGTGATGGGAAAGGAAAGCAGATATACAGGCACGTCAAGCAGATGTACAACCACTGCCTCTATTTTCAGCTGGCAAAAGCCTTCAGCTTTGGCAATACAGTGGTTTTCATCCTTCTGTGCAGCACAAGTTCCTCCAATGAGACTGGGCTGCCCAGGGCACTAGTGGCTAACCTATTGTTTCTAAACTGGCTTGCTAGTTTGCTGGTTCATATCTAGCCTAGGAAATTAAAGTCATGGCCTGTGTGAAATGAGCCAGTAACAGCCATCAATTACCTGGTAGAGAGAGGCCAGGCCAGACAGCACAAATAATACTCTTGGCTGACAGCTTAGAAGAGATGCAAGACTGAGCTACATCCTCCCCCTCAGGGACAGAGTTCTAGGTTTGAAGTATAACATGAACATTTTGGGGCTTCTACATTATTCCTTCTATTTATAAAATTTACCTTCTGTTCAACTATAATAAATGAACTCAATTTTGAAAGAGAAAACAAAGTGAAGCTGTAGGATTGCAGTGGAATATTAGGCAAAGCCTTGTAAGCATTCCCCAGTAAGATGGCAATAGTAAAGCTGTAGCAAACTCTCTTCTCTCTCAAACCTATCAACCAGATTTGGGGAAAATGGCTCAAGATACTACCTTGACAAGTATGTGCAAAAGCAGAGCTTTTGTACATCATCAAGAAAAACAGGGGGCTCAAGGAACAATTAATTTAGTTTGGGTACATTTAAAGCTAGATCCTGTGAAGAATTAGGGATGTGTATAGCAAGTGATAATGTTTCCTGATACAAAATGAATTGCACACAGGCAAATAGCTTGATGCCTCTGCCCAGGTGCACCATGGAGAAGAATGAATTCAAGAGTTACAATTCCAGTAGGCAACAGAGCTCTGAATACACGGCTGTTACAACACCTCATACTTTGACCTAGGTGGCTGTTAGCATCTCAACACCTTGATTAACCAAAAGTCCAATTTCATCTAGAATTATACCAACAAGTTCTTATTTTGTTATGAAAACCTATTTTCCATAAAACCAAGATTACTGGCAACCAAGTGGGCTGCAATTACTGAGAAACCTTGTGTTTTAAAAACTCCAGATTGATTATTTACTTTTTCCTTTTTTCTCCTTCTCCGCCCCACCCCTCCTCATGGTATTCCAATACTAGAAATTTTTATTATGTTTTATTCACAAACTCAGAAACATTGACATGGTTTTTTCCAAAGTAAAACCTGGAAAACAAAAAGCACATATATGCCAGCAGTTTCATGCCACATAAAATACCTGGGAAGAATCTCAGATGCATGCTGTATCTGAATGTCCATGTCAGGCAACAGCACACAGAAATAACAGTAAGGAGTATGAAAATGAGGCAACATGAGGACTATATTCGGAGGAACAGTTGCAGTGAAGATCTGCTGCAGATCAGTGAGGCTCATTGAAGAACAACTACTGAAATCAATGCAGGCACCTGATGCATGCATTTAGGCCAACCTGCTGGATGAAATCAATGTAGGCACCTGATGCGTGCATTTATGCCAACCTGCTGGAAAACCGCGAGCTGAATCAGATTTTGTGACTATTAAATCGCCCCCTGTATCCAGAGCTACAGGGTTGATTGCATAGCCTCACCTAACCAAGAAACTTCCATCCTTCAAGGAAGAGAAAACTGAAGCTGGACCGCTTTTCTCCGGAAAGCGCTGTGCTACAAGCTAGCAGGATGGCCCGGGCATCTCGGGGACGCGGGCCTGAAACAGGGCCCGTGACCTCGGTCCGACAGCTGCGGCTCTGGGCTTCTCCACCGTCCGGCCGCTCCGAGAGCGGAGAAGGCAGCGTGCTACCCTGCGGCTGGACACCGGCCCGCCGGGCTGGGCGAGCGCTTCCTGGCGGCGCCGGGAGCTGCTTGTCCTGTGCCCGCCAACAAACGGAGGATGCCGAGGTCAGCCGCGGCTCCCGACACGTTTCCTCCGGCAAGTCGGGGGGAGGACCGTGGGAGCGGGGCCGCGCTGGACAGAGGGCGCGGGCAGCAGAGTGCGGCCCCAGCCGGGGCCGAACGCCAGCACAGCCGCAGGGCAGCCCGCGCCCCTCAGCCGCCGGCGGCATGCGGCGGGCCGGGCCCTGGTGCCTGCTCCTGGCTGCGGCCTGCGCCCTGGGCCGGACCGCGCCGCCCCCGCGGGCCGCCCTGCGCTGCCCGTCGGCCGGCGCCTGCTTCAGCGCCCATCTCGCCAGCGTCTCGTACGCCGAGGCCCGCGGCGCCTGCGGCCAGCGGCGGGGCAGCCTCGCCTGGGTCAGCAGCGAGCCGGAGCTGCAGCTGCTGCTGGAGCTGCTGGCAGAGGCGGCGGTGCCCGCGCCCGCGCTGTTCTGGGTCGGGCTGAAGAGGAACGCCTCCACCTGCACCCACAGCGAGCACCCGCTTCGCGGCTTCTCCTGGGAGGGCGTCGGGGCTGGGACGGCCTCGCAGGAGGTGCCGGCGGCGCTCGGCCGGTGGCTGCAGGAGCCTCTGCGCTCCTGCCTCACCGCCCGCTGCGCTGCGCTGCACCTGGCGGCTGACCCTGGCGACGGCCCCAGGTGGGGCTGGAAGGAGCGGCTCTGCCAGCGGAAAAGCCCGGGCTACCTCTGCAAGTACCAGTACGAGGGTGCCTGCCCCGACCTCAGTCCCGCCGGCGCCCTCGGTCTCGACTACCGGCTCCCCTTCGAGGAGCGCAGCGGCGGCCCCGGCTTCAGCCCCCCGGGCACCGTGCTGACGGTGGCGTGTCCCGGCGGGGAGGTGCGGCTCAGCTGCCAGCCCGAGCCGGGCGGCTTCGCCTGGAAGACGGCAGAGAAGCCCCTCTGCCCCTGCCCCTTCGGCCGCAGGAGCCCCGACAGCGGGCGGTGCGCCGAGGCCGCCGGGTGTCGCGATGCCGCCGGCGGCTTCGCCTGTGCCCGCGTCCCGGGCGATCCGCACGGAACTGCCAGCCCGGGCACGGGGCCGGCCCCCACCGCTGCAGGCGGCCCCGCCGAACCGACGGGTGCCAGGGCGGAGGGGCGGCGTCCTTCCATCCCGGCACCCGGCGGTTCCACGGAGCCGCCCGCCACCGCCACGGCCGCCGGCGGCGGAGAGAAGACGGCTACTCCGTCGCCCTCCTCCTCTTCTTCCAACTACGTTTTCATCCTGGTGACGATCGCAGTGGTGGTGCTGGTCATCCTGGTCATGACCGTGCTGGGGGTGTTCAAAATCTGCTTTAACGAGAAGTCCGAGGGCCGCAGGGACAAGGAGCCGCCGGAGGCCGGCAGCAAGGCGGAGGCAGGCTCCGCGGAGCCCAGCGGAGCAGCGCGGGGTGAATAGCCCCGGACCGGCGAGGCCGCGTCCCTCGGGGCTGCCCTGAGCCGCAGCTGCCACCCGGGCCAGCGCTCGGCTCCCCGCGTCCCTCCTGCCCCCAGCCCTGCAGCCGCAGGGAGCCGAGGGAGAGGCGCCGCGGGACCTGGCTGGGCAGGGCTTGGATGGACATTATCAGTCGCGGGAGCGCGTAGCGACGTTCTTTCGAGGGGATTGAAGTCTTTGGACGGTCAGGGTTTTTTGTCAGTCTGAAAAATAGTTATTTCGGTGCTGATTTCACTACAATATAAATAGAACATCCTGGCCAACAGAGCGATTGCAGCTGCAACCATTGTGCATTTTTATCCTCTCAGAAGCTGTTCGTCGGGTGCCTTACTTGGAGCAAGCATAAAGTGGGCCACTTTGAGCACTTGCATCTCGTAATTTAGAAGTCACTCCTTGCCCGAGTGGTACTTGGAGGATCTAATTTTCAATCTAACTGCGGGAACTTTTGGAGAGGTGAACTGCCATAATTTTGGGTGAAACTGCAACCCATATGCTTTCATACTGACATTCTTTAAAAATTAAAGAGCATTTCTATACTTAGAAAGTCATTAAACTGCTGAGAAAGTGAGAGGTTAATGGGGACTCAGTTTCAGCAGATGAAAAGAATAAAGGATGATGTAAATCACTGCCCTGTTTGTTACTTCATACTAATTTTTATTGTAGCAGAGAATAAATTTTTCAGTTAGTTTTTCTCCTAAGGTAGGTTGTTACACAATTTGCTTTCTGTATGCAATATGTGACTCCCTTACAATCAGACAAGGTGCTGACACACCACAGTGCGAGAGGAATTAACGTGAGTCCAAATACATCATGCAAATCTCATTCTCTTTAGTCAGATATATTGTTTTCCATGGAGTCCCTTGAGAGTAAGGAAAGATTCACTATTTGTGCCCTTTACTAAATGAGGTAAATACTTCCTCTGTGATTTCCCTTGGGAATTCCTGTAGAGCAGCTTTCAACCTGGCTGCAGAACTTGCTTTCTGTGCAGTTCAGAGTGCTGGTGCTCACTTATTATGGTGTTGGTTTTCAACTGAAGTTGTAATATTAAATATTGATTCAAGGTTTTCTGAGTGCAGTTATACAAATCTAAGTGGTCTCATCCAAGACTTTTAGAGTGCAGGGAGAATAGGGAAATATTTTCTTCCCTTAAGAGAACTTTAATTTATGAAATGTCTCTTTAAATACACTTCCTTGTTTGTTTTCCTCTCTTGAGAGCTGACATTACTACTATAATTTTGATACTTTCATGTTGAGTTTAAAGAAATCAGTTTAAAAAATAATGTGTGCTATTATTACCTATTTTTCTTGCAAGAAAATACTTGTTGATAAATATGGTGTAAACATCTGCTAAGGATAAATAATTACATAATAGAAGTTTTTTTATTTTTCCCTTTCTCTCCCTTTAATGATGATAGGCAGTTGCTATCTGGGAAACAGTCTTTTGCTTTTGGTAAAGAGGTCACTGATATTTGTGAGCCATCAGACTGACTGCAGCCATAAATTCCCTTGTATCATGACAGGAGTTAAATCCATCTAGGTGAGAATGCTACTCATTACAAGGTGACCCATAATCTGCTTACTTTTTTATTCTGTTCATCTGACATTTGTATTTCAGAAGGCAGGCATTTTTCAGCTTGGGAAGGAGGCTTGAGTCTGCATTCAGATGTGCACAGATTTGGAAAATGAGTTAGCCATTAATGCCTTATTTCTTAATGACACTCCTGTTGTTCTCAGTGTAAATAATTTATTTCATGGGATGGTATATGTTGAGCTCTCTTCTTCTATTTGGGCTGTATAAGCAAATAGCAACTAAGATGAAGGAGAGCCTCTCTTATTTTTTTTTTTTTTTTTAGTATGTTTTAGTCTTTCATATCAGATAGCTGAACATTTCTGGGACTGTCCAGGTGTGTTTTCCTAAGCTCTAGAAACTCTATCATTCTCTGTTTCTGGAGTCTTACCAAGCACACAATTAAGTGCTGAGTTAAGCACCCGACTACTTATTTTGGCATCTCTCAATATGTGACTCAGACTATTTAGTTAAAATATGCAAGTTCATACCCTTGCAAGCGGTTCACCTGAATCATAATTCCCATTTCACTCTTCCTGTGAAATCATGTTTTGATTTGAAAGTTCTTTTTCTCACACAATTCAGGATCATTAGACATTTGTCTAGAGGACTACACAAGGGTTCTACTATGTTCCCCTGGCTAATAATTTGACTTATGTGAAACCAGACTATTTGGCATCTAAGGATGGGATCCATCTTACCATGTGTAGATATCTCCAATAATTCATCTAGACTTTTTTACTCACCTAGACACCTGTACTGCCTATAGAGAGAAATATGTGCTTGCACTTAATCTCATTTTAGACTAGGTGCTGATAACAGGACTGATGAATCACATCCTGAAAGTGCCCTTTCTCTGCATTGACTGTAAAGAAGGCATATGGAGGCTACTTATATTTAAATGCCTGTAAAGCACACATTTAAAATTAAATCAGAAAAATCAGCTTACTTAAGTCTCCAGCTGTGCAAGTCACTTTTCTAAAAGGAAGCTCATGGTGCTTTCTGTCTCTTCAAGACATGGCTTAATGGTCATAATTTTATTATTGTTTTTATTGCTTTTACATGTTGGAGATTCTTGTTTAGTATGTCTGGGGTTTTTTACCTTATTTTTGCAGTCAGTAGAATACAAATGAAATAGCATTTGGATTTGTTTGGAACCTGAGCAAGTTTGGAATGCATGAATTTCTCTTTCTCTAATGGTTCAGACCAAAAAGAAGATGGTCTGGGAGAAAGGATCATTTTTGCTTTCAACTCTTGATCAAATTGCGTCTTTAGTGAGTAAGAAACCGACACATACCTGTCATTCAACCATTGGTTTATATCACAACCATGATTCGCTGGTCTGCAAGGCAAACTCAGAGCATGTGGTAAGCAGGGTTTGCTCTTTACATCCATAGAAGGAGAATAAGTAAAGTCATACATAATGAGTACAGATAATCATAACAAGTACTGAGATAATAAAAGTGTCTGGTTATGAAAATGGATGCCATTGTTATAAAAATTATTATGTAACACCACATAAGAAAACACAGTCAAGTATTTTTCCAAAACATGGCAAGGATAGAGACAAATCTTTTCTCTCACATTGTGTGCATGTCCGTTGAATAAACATTATATGAGCATATTATATTCCAGCTGTTTTTCCAGCATAGGAAAAAATATTATTTCATCCCATATTAAAGCCATATAAATCACATATGAACTTTGTATCTGTGAGTTTTACATTGCTTACATTTGTAATGAAATGGTGATAGCAAGAAACTGTTAGTCTACACTTGAAAATGGTGATTCCTGAAAAGAATAGGAATGTCCATCACAGTTTTCTTTTCTATCACAGTTATCAAAAAACTGTCCCATGTTTCCAATTTTATATTTCCTTAATTCATACAAAGATATTTTGACCGGTAGGCTGTCTTCAGGACATAGGCATATCATTTGTCAGCTGCACATTCTATTTATGAACAAGTGATGAATTTTTAATGGTTAGTTTAATAAAATAGCCAGAAATAAAATTTTAATTACCACATTTTTTTAAAAATAATGATTTATGTTACTGAGGGCTTAATTAGGTGTTCTGTGGGATTGAAACAAAAACTATAAGTGGACATGGGAAAAATTCTAGTACTTCTGACAACATTTCTCCTTGTATAAGTGTATCATATAGCTTAAAGAATATTAAAAAATGTAATGGATTCTGTGCTTCCCCTAGAAACTTCCTATCAGTTAATTTTTTTCATGTTTTAAATCCCAGTTATCTTTCTTCATTATTACATAGAGGCCAATCACTGGTAGATGCAATGTAGTTCCTTCTAGAATTACTATTTTTTATTTTTTCAGTATGTGGACACTTACCAAGGCTGTAGTGTGGCAATTCATATATTTCACTAAAGATATATAATTGACTCAAAAGGCAAACACAGAGGGCAGCAGCAGCAGTAACTACATTCCCAGGGCTTCAAAACATTAAACTTAATATATTTTATTCTTCCCCCAGTATGCAGCCTTGTCTTTCTCTTCTGGGCTTGTAGTCTGGGACTGGAAGACTTGAAAGTAGATGTGTAAAGGGAATCATCTGTTAGCATGCAAATATTTTCCCTTTTCTGTATTTTTAGCTAGAATCACAGAATCATAGAATGGTTTGGGATGGAAGGGACCTTAAAGATCATCTTGTTCCACACCCCTGCTGTGTGCAGGGACTCCTTGCCCTAGACCAGGTTGCTGAGAGCCCCATCCAGTCTGGCCTTGAACACTTCAAGGGATGAGGCATTCACAACTTTGCTGAGCAAACTAGTCCAGTGTCTAACCACTCTCACAGCAAAGAATTTCTTCCTCATACCTAATCCATGCCTATCCTCTTTGTTTGAAGCCACTCCCCTTTGGCCTGTCACCACAAGCCCTAGGAAGATGTTCTTCAACTTTCTTGTAGGTACTGGAAGGTTGTTTGTAGGTACTGGAAGCCTTCTATCTTCCAGGCTGAGCAACCTCAACTCTTTCAGCCTGTCTTTGTAGATGTGTTCTAACCCTCTGATCATCTGGGTGGCCTCTTCTGGGCTCCAGCATGTCCACATCCTTCTTATGTTGGGAGCTGCAGAGGAGAGCACAGCACTCCAGGTGGAGTGGAAGTGGCAGTGGAACTTGAGAATGCAGAGGTATGGTGGTGGTCCTGCATTTGTCGTGTCCTTCCCCTCCTTCCACCTGCCAGTCCTTTTGTATTCTGAGTCAGAAAAATGGGAAAACAACCATTCTTTTGTATTTTATGGGTAATATAAGAGAAAGAAAACTGCAGGTTCACAGAGAGGATGAGCTGAGGAGGGAAAAATGAGAAAGACAGGCAAGCGTCCATCTCTACCAGGATGTATCTGTCCTAACCATTTTCTTGCTGCATATGTTACTCAAAATGTGGTGGTTTGCAAACAAATAAATATTTTCAGTCATTAAGCCAGGAACAGCACATGGGCTATAACCTGTCAGAAAAGCATGGTTTTGTATTTGGAATGTAACCAGCAGGCCTTGTGTTTTTGGCTGATAAGAATGATTTACACTGTTCTCTGAAACATAGCATAAGATCAAAAGTACAGATAGCTTGAGTGAGATTATAAGTGATCAAAGTCTGTAATGTCTGTGCAGAGGAATGTGTTACATTACTTTCATTCTTACAAGTATATCTTTCTCTAAGGGAAAGGATTTTTCCCAGTCATTGTACTGAAGATTCTGCTCAAGTAAGAAGTTCTGTAAATTTTACTTTATGACAGTGAAAGAACAGTGAAAATTCCTCTGTATTCAATTTCTGTCTTGCCAATATGAGTTTCTTCTTGGTTTGTGTTAAGTAAAAACTTATTAGATCTTTTCCTCTATTTTAATGATAAAGAAAAAAAAAAATCTGTGAAATTCAAAGCATCTGAAAAAAAATCCAAAATAAATAAGCATTCAGAAAAATCCTTTATCTATCTGTTTCTGTCTTGTTTTTCCTGAGTTTCTGGTAATTCCATGAAGTATCTAAATTGTCATGTAGTTCTTAGAAAAAATGCCTAGCTACTTTCTAAACTTCAAAAATAACAACCAGCTTGGAAAACAGCAGCTGACATAAAAAGCACCACTTAATATTTTTTGCTGGGTTGGGAGTTTATGTATTTCCTGTACTCTAAACAGTGAAAGTTAATTATGTGAAAGAGCCAAATTCCTGCTTTGCAATGCCTGTACTGGACTCTACTTCTTTTCCTCTGTTCTTAACAAAATGGCCTCTCCTGCCATCACATACTTGATTTTTCTCCATATCACATTTCTTCTCTCTCAGTCTGCTCAATATCAAGTATCCACCAGTCTGGCCTTCTTTTATATCCATTCTCCTGCAAATATCCAGCTTTGCCATGTTTTGGACCACTCCAGTTGACCAGCAATCCCTTGGGCTTTCCATTGTGAATCTGAGCACAGGCAAGTTCTGTGTGCCTGAGTGGAGCTTGTGCCATACTCGGCCCGTGGCAGCAGCACTGGTGCCACCTGGCATTGCTCACTTTCTGAAGTGCAGCGCAGTCCAGCACCCTCCTGAACCTCCCCCTGGGCTGGTAGGGCCCACACGTGCACTGACAACAGCACCATCACCAACAAGGTAAGTGGAGACCATACAATCCTGTTCCAGGTCATAAATGCAACACAATTCAAACCCCAAGTTAAAAATCTGTTAATTGTTAGCTGTCCTACAACTTCCCTATGCTGTGAATTTGGGCACTTTTATTTGAGCCTTTCTAATTAGGAAGCTCAAGAACCCTTAGGCATATTACACAGTGTAAGAACCTGTATAGAAAAGGCATTTGGTGGGGGAGGGGTTGGAATGGAGGATAGAAGGAATTTTCTGTATATTTATATAGTTTCCAAGGTGACTCTATCCATCATAGACATGATAATCATGTAATGACAAATGTATTCCATTCAGACTGGATACAAAAACCTATATACCTCGGGCAGGATACAACACCTTGCTATCTCTGCTTCATAGCTGCTTATTGCTCTGCCAAATCCAGATTTTAGGCTTTTGGAGAAACAAAGTTGGAAGGGAGTGGGCATACTTAGCTTTTATTGAAAAGCATCTGTCTTGTCAAAATTTTGCTTGGTTTGTAGCCATGTAATGATATACTTTGAAATACTCTCAGGTTCATCTATTTTTCTTGGCCATTTCTCTCCACAAAATGTAATATCTAAAAGCATTTTTCTGAAAGAGAAATCTAATTAGTAAACCATCCTTTCTTCCTGTGGCTTAGCCTGAAGTTATCAGCCAAATAAGGCTCTATTGAAGAGGATTTAAGTGCTAAATACACAATTCAGTAGAAATATTTTATTCTCTAGAAGAGATTCATAATTCACATTTTTGTCTGTAGAGCCCTGGTGTCAAGTAAGGTTCCTAGGGACTAAAATTACAGAATTTAGAACACTGGATTGATATTTTTTTCTTGGGTAATTTCTTTTTTTTTTTTTTATTATTTTTCTTTAATCTTTTTTTAATCAGGATTATAAGACAATAAATTGTCACTATTCTAGAAATACAGCAAAGTCAAACCTTATATAACATGAATGTATGACATCACTGGGTTATTTTATTTCAGTAAGACTTAGTTTCATATTTAGAATTAGTATTCTGATTTTGGTAACAGGTTAAAATACAGCAAATAGTCAGTGTTAATAGAGATGCCATAAACATTAGAAATGCAGATTTTTAGATTTCCAGAAACAATCAGAAAGCCTGTTTTAAAACTCTGATTAACTGGAAAGCTGGCATTTTAGAAATTCTTACATTACATTCAGAAAACTGATTCTCATTCTCTGTGAAAATATCAAATGGGTTCTTTAAGAGTCGAATGCAAAGAAACCATCCTCTGTCTAATGTTCTCTGCTGTAGGGACCATCGAAAGAGGCATGCATAGCTGCATGCAACCCTCACCTTTGTCATCCACTGTCCAGATGTAAAGTGCCTCTGTGACCAGTTTTCCTCAAGTCCACTCACTGCAGGTAGCAGCCAGCCTCAGGATTCTGAGACGTGTTGCCTTTGCTACTGCCCTGGGAAGCCTGGTGAGAAAGGAAAGTGATTTCCTGTGCACCTTTCTTTGAGTGGCAAAATGCTGCAGCTGATGTGTGCTGCCCAGCTGATGTGAGTTCCACGTGAGGACTGTTCTCTGGAATACATGCCACAGGAAACAGTCCAGTCCATTGACTGGATACTGCTTGGTGCTGTCCCACTGCTGGGTATAGGTCTCAGGCTAAACAAAGTGCAAAGATTGCCTGCATTTCAGGGGCCACAATGTCAATTTCCATGACAAAGTGAATGCAGTATTTTTAGAATATAAACCAAAACTCATGGGGAAATAGCAAAAATATTTCTGCTGGTTACAAATTACAATTCACCCACTTGTAGCTGTATAAAAAGGTCAAAAAATCACCAAGAAATAAATCACTGTCCTATTTTTTCCAATAAATTAAGCATTAGTTAAAATAATTTCCATATGAAATCTGAATACTTTTTGGAAAGGATTAAAAAGAGTTCTGTTTATTTTCTGGTACATATGATTTCATGAGAACAACTTTTTGTCTTTCCAGTGGTTATGTTCTACTATTTAGAATAGTAACACAGAATGAACTAACTAACTTCCTTTCTAGATAAATTGAATGATTTACTGCTGTGTTGAGAGGTTGATCACCTCTCCCAGAGTGAAAAATAGCAGGAGCGACTGTTAGTTTGGGATAAACAGATTTTGTTTCCAGCTGAAACCACACAGAGCCAGGAATCATAGGGGCAGTACTGGCTGGGGGTGAATCAGTCCATCCATCTGAAGGCAAGCCTGCCATCTACCGAAGGCCCAGCCCAAGCTCTGCCATGTGCCTGGGGGAACTGAAATTAAAGTGCATATGCTGGTAGGAGTGCAGGCAATGAGAAAAAAAAAAAAAAAAATGAAAGAACAAAACCCAATTCAACTTTTAATCAAAGCTGAGTATGCAGTATGAATCTCTATGCTTTTTCACTCTTGCTTCATCGTGTCTGATATTAAACAAATTCAACAGTAAAAAGTAGACTGACTCTCTGTGTAATCTGACCATAGATAAGTATGCCTGGGTGAAAAGGACCACATAATATTATGAAATTTATGCCATCTTGAAGATATTGTGAGTGAGAAGTCAAGTGAAGCCCTGGAAATAGCATCATGGATATTATGGGGCATTTTACTGTTTTGACAGACATTTGATTCTGTGAAAATTTAATTGAGCTTATAAAGCAATTTCATCCTCATTTCCCCATATGTACATGTAAAATATTACAAAATTTAATATTTGAAAATTTTCTTAAAATCATGCCCATTAGGAAGTAAAAGAAAAGAAACTGTACAATTGTTAAAGCTTTTAATGAAATATTTTAATAAGGATGTAACAGTTTCCACATTAGCAATTTTTAGACTTAAAAGAGCTGACTCACAGTCCATTGAAGTGAGTTAAGATTTTTTTCTCTCATTTTGATGGACTTTGAATCAGACAACTTTGAAATACTAGATTTATACATTCATTTAACAGTACCTAAGTTTTGGTGAAAGAAATGTACATCCTGCTTTTTGCTGCCAAGAAAAGTTAAAGGGTATAATTTAACAAAAACCTGTAGTAAATCCACCACTACAAATACTAGATACCTTAACTGTCAGCCTTACACTTTACACTGTACTTAAGCACTGCAGCTACGAGTACAATGCTATGGGTATGCTGCTACTAGAGATTTTTCCAGTCTCTTGCTTCATATTGCCATTAGTTATAATTGATACAACCACAGTATTGTGCTAGAGAATTGATTTGTCACAGCTACTGGGACACTTGCCACTGTGTGACACTGTTAGCATAGGTGATAGAAAGCAAAAAACATTGCTAATTTCAACACAGTCTGTACCGATGCTTCTGTGTGGGGTAAAACGGAGTAGGGAGAGGAGGTTTCATTTAATTGGCTGTCATTTATCAAAGAAAGCTTCATCTGTCTATATGAAATTTGTTTTGTCATAAGAGGAGAAGAGATAAAATTCAAGAGAGAATTTCTGTAGGGGAGACAATGTAAATGAAAGAGTTAGAAAAAATGACAATGTTTTTATCTGGAAAGAATCCTTCTTGAGCATCACCCATTTTAAATGCAACCTTGCAAGTAGCCACCACAGCCATAAGTACACAGTAAAAATTGCTTCAGAAAAACACGTTCACAACACAGTGACAAGGATCAAATAAAAATCTAACAAGAAGACATCTGGCACACATTGAAAACAAGAATTCTCAGAGATGAAACATTAAGAAGCTCTGGGTCAGCATATTATATTGGCAACATATGAAACCCATTTTGTTGGGATTTTTTAGTGCAACAGAAGAAACTGGAGCTAGGGTAATAGCTATTACTGAACAGCTACTTTTTCTGTCAAGTATTCGTTTCAGAGACTGGTGGAGATTTTTAAATGACTCCCCCTTTTTCCATATAGACTAAAGTGGCTTTACCATCATCCAAGTCATTCAAAAACTGTCTCAGCTCCCTTCATTTCTGTTTCACAGCTGATGGAGCAGACTCGAGAGCAGATTCACAGTCTAGTGCTCCCTTTAAACTTTATTATCAGCACACTTTATTGTGTGTGTGGACAGATTCAAGCATTTCCCAACTCAGCAGTCCCTCCCAGCTGCCATCTCAGTGAGTCCCAGCTCTCTGCTCCTTATGTGTCACGGGACTGCTTATCTCCTGTCATGAGCAACCTGCCGCACAGCTCCAAACCACAGCAATAATCACATTTTTTTCCTAAGATCTTTTCTGATCTGCTTCTGCCAAGTAGCACAGAGAGTCAAAGTCCCAGTGAGATGGAAGCTGTCTGCAAAGCAAAAAAATATCTTTCTCGAGGACTTTTTGCTCCCTGCTTTCTATTTTATTCTGGGGGGAGGGAATGGTAGGCACAGAGAGAGGCTACTCATTCCTTCCTGGGGGAGGGCAAGGTATGTGTTGGGGGGAATTTTTCCAGCATTTCTAATCTCTGAAGGGGGTGTGTGTACTGACAGATGTTGTATGGGGTCATTTTCAGCTGTGGGGAGTCTGAGCCTGAATGCTGGGGCTCGACTGAGGCAGGCTCGACTCAGTGGCCTGGGGTGTTCCACCAGCCAAGGGGAAGGGCAAACTGTACAAAAGACGGACAGAGAGTCTCTGCAGGACCTTTACAGCCACTTGTCAGACACAGAGAGTGGCAGAGCCAGGCTACCAGACCCTAAGCTAACCCATGAGATCCACAACTCATTAAGTGGATGTCAAAGCATCAGATAATACACCTATTCTCAAGGGGGGCAACCAGGGTGCAGGGGGGCAGCAAATCAAGGATACAGGGTTTTCTTTGCTCTTTCTTGTGCCAAACACTGGTGGCAGTGGGCAGGACCAAAATCCCCTCCCTCCCAGCCTCCCCATGCCACAGCCCTGGCTTCGCTCACCCTCCAGCTGGGGGGCAGTAAGGGAGCTGGAGGACAGGAATGCTTCCTCAGAGGGTGGTAATCCTGGAGGTGCAAGTGCCATTCCTGTACACGCTCCCTGACTCCAGGTTGTCTGGGGGAAAGTCCTCCACGCTGTATGCTCTGCTCTTGAGGGCAGTGGCATAGTAGTCGATGGGTTCCTCTGCAGCATTGTCCATCCAGCTGAGGCAGAGCAGCCGCTGGAAGGACCGCTTGAAATTGTCTGAGAGAAAACCATAGAGGATAGGGTTGGCACAGCTGTTGGCATAGCCCAAGATGACAGAGAGCTGGCTGATGGTGGCATCATCCTGCTCTACAAAGACATTGACCAGCTGCACAATGTAGAAGGGCATCCAGCAGATGACAAAGACCATCACCACCATCATGACCATGAGGGTGATCTTGCGCTCTGAGCGTTTGCGCTGCTGCCAGCCAGCCTTCAGGGCCACCATGCGCATCTTAGCAATGATGAGGATGTAGCAGAGGCAGATGGCCACCACAGGCAGCAAGAAGCCCATCAGAAAGGTGTAGACCACAAAGACCACCAGCCATCTCTGGGTGGGCTCTGGCATGAGCATGTTACAAGCCACTGTTCCATCACTGTTGGCTGCTGTGTTGGAGAAGATGATGATGGGCAGGATGATGAGGATGGAGAGCACCCAGACACCCAGATTGACCATCTTAGCCACAGTGGGGCGGCGGTACCTGGCCGCCTTGATTGGGTGCACCACAGCGATGTAGCGGTCCACGCTGAGCACAGTCAGGCAGTAGATGCTGGTGAACATGTTGATGGCATCCACACTGAGCACCAGGCGGCAGAGCAGGGAGCCAAAGGGCCAATGGTGCAGCAGGGTGGAGGTAACCAGAAAGGGGACGCTAAGCATCAGCAGCTCATCCGCGATGGCCAAGTTGAGGATGTAGATGTTGGTGGCTGTCTTCATCTTGGCATAACGTAGGATCACGTAGATGACCATGGAGTTCCCGCACAGCCCCACCAGGCACACCACGGAGTAGATGAATGAGATGAGGATGGCGCTGCCCTGAGACTCACTCAGGGTGCTGTTCGGAGCGCCAGAGGAATTCCTGCCGCCCGAGTCCATGCCCTCTGCCGCCGCCTCCTCCGAGGCGCCACCCGCTCCGCCGCCACCACTGTCGCTGCCGCCGCTGTCGCTGCCGCCGCTGTCGCTGCCTGCACCGCCCGGAAGCCTGGGGCAGGTGCCATTGGGGAGCATCCTCTGCCCGGACCCCCCCGGCCCCGCTCAGAGCAGCAGGCGTCCGCCGCCGGCTGCGCTGGGCATCATCCCGCCAGGGATGCCGGCGCGGCGGCCGCGGGACGCGGGCATCGGGAGAGAGGCGGCTGCCAGCGCCGTCGCTCCGAGCGGCGGCAATTGCTGCTCCCCGGCTGGTGAATGATTAACAGCAGCGGCGCGTCACCAGCTAAGGAAAGAAGGAGGGAAAGAAAAAGAAATGCAGGAGGAGACGTAAGTGGGTGTCCCTTCCCACCCCCCACTCCCCTTGCCCGCCTCCCATCCCGCCCTCCGGCTGTTCGCAAATCCAGCAGCTCCAGAGCAGCTTGTTCCCTGTTCCCGCTGCCCCACTCTACTCAGTGCCCTCCTATCCTGCACTTCTCTCCCCACCCAGTGTTGTTTCCCCCACCTCCCACTGATCCCCTCCCCGTCCACCATCCTCTCCTCTCCCTCCATTGTCCGCAGTTCTCCATCCATGGCACCTAGGTCCAGACCAGGGGACCCCTGGCAAAAGGACTGTCCTTTGTCCTTTAAGAAAAAAGCCTGGGTGTTGCGTGGGTGAGCAGTGTTACCTGGGCAAGCGTGCCTCATGTCTACGCAGCTGCTGTAACCCTCTCCTGTCACTGCACGAGGTGCGCTGCCCACTCCGAGCGCTGGCACCAGGCATTAGCACCGACCGACAAAGCCCAAAACATTCAATCCTATGCACACAGCGCTATCCATGCCTCCTACCCCCACGCAGCTCCACGCTCCCTACCTTGTCCTGTCCCACCAGCACCAGCTCTAGATATCACTCACGAGCAGCCCTGCCCCTCTCCCCACACTCTGTCCTGAAAGATGCCTCCCCATCATATTGTAACACCCCGGCTCATGTTTTGCCTCTGTCTGTCACATCCAAGAGTGAGTGACCAATTTGCACACTTCAGCTTGACACGGCTATTTACACCACCCTGGTGCCAAGACCATCGCCTGCTGTCCACGCCTCTGTCCCCACACATCTGCTTCCAATCATAGGATGACTTCAAGCTCAACCACCACATGCTGCCTTACCAGTGTTAAAACCTCCTCTCTTAAAATATACTTAAAATATATAATATATTATATATATTTTATATAACATTTATAATATATTTATATTTAATATATGCTTAAAATATATGCATATCCCTGATAGGATTGTATCCACACCAGGAGAGGCAATAAAACCTCCTGAGCCTGTACAGTGACACAAACCATTGGTACCATCTCCATTCATATGCTGCATATATGTAGCTGTCACTACATAACTTCTCCCATGCTGTACCCACCAACTGCTTCTATACACTGACCTATCCTGTGCTGTTTTTTTACATACACTCTGATTCTAGATGAACACACATACACCAGCAGTTCCTGCTGTTGTCATCTCTAGGCAAACACTGACACTTTAAACACCTCATCCTCACCACCAGTTCTAAACACACATGAACATCTTCAGATAGTCCTAATACTGCATCTCTCTTCTCTGGCAAGGAAAATTTTCTTAAAAAAAGAAGAGCATGACTTTCCATACACCTCTCCTGCTGGGCAATATGTCTCTTCTCCCTATATGTTATTGTTTTGACTATACAATTTGTCCTTACATGCTTGTACATAACCACTAAATCAATTTTCATACACCACCACCACCATTCTGTATATACCACCTGACCATTCTGTATTAACTAGATGTGGTTACTCACTAGTTCACACAGACCCTCACACTTGCATAAACATTCCCTCAGGCATACACACAAAATACTCAGTAAATGCTTATTTATTCTGTTGACTGTAGCCCCCCATCTGTGTGAGCAAAGCATACCTGTATGGGTAATGACCTGTCTCTACACATAAACTGCTGCCTAAGAGCACCGCTTTCTTTTGTCAAGAACAGCAGGTCCACATCACACAAGTATCACCGCAGTGCATGTGCTGCTAAATGGTCCCCACAGCACCACTATACTCAGCATCACACAAGCATCCTTCCAACCTACGCATTTTACTGTGCACACATACCCATCACCTCCTACTGTTCACACATCTTGTTATCACCGTCTGCCCACCATCACAATTATGCATATTATCACTACCCACCACTTTAATATGCAGATACATGCAGCATTTCCATCAATTGATTACAACCCATCATCAGGAATTTATTCTCTCTAGAACCATATATATCTTAATGCCTTTCATCAACACCAGCATCTATTTAAACACATGCATGTAACCTCTCTGACTGTATGACTTTCCTCATATCAGTCATACACACCCAGGCACTCCCATGTGATGGGCATGTGCTCTTTGACACCTTGTGAAAAGTATTACATTTAGCACATGCATACTTTTGCATGACCCTTACCAAGCTGTTTCTTTCTCTTCTGTGTTTAAAGAACAGATTGTGAATACATATAGATGTAGATATACACCCCTACACATTACAAAAATAACCTTATTCAATTTTTAGTAATTGCATACAAGTTCTATTTGGTTGATACTCTTTTTGACTTTTGACGACTTTTTGTATTTATATTCTAGTGTAGAAATGCACTTATTGAGCAGTATCTGCAAATGATCTTACCATTCCTAGGACTGTTCTTGTATACGAGGGTTTGTCTAGATGTTTGAGCACTTAGGATGTCATACAAATTAAAATTCATACTTACATTTGGGTTTAAAGGTTGTATATTCTGATGTGCTATCATCAGAGCTTCTAGCAGACAGAGAAAAAAATATGTTGAACACAATGGAAAATCTTTTCTTGCAATGTGCTATCTGACACTGCTCAAATTTCTGCAATTACATAAATTCAGCTGAAGAATTATTTTCTTTAAAGTTTGTATACTAAGAGAATATGAATCAGCCTTCAGTCATTGATATGAGAAGGAGCAGAAATCAATAGCTGCAAACCCAAGAACATCCGGTTGGTTTCAAAACTTCAGTCTGTTGTAAAACCTACAGTTCAAATACAATCTGATATTTGTTTACATGAGCATTTGTTTTAATGGTCATTTACTTATGGAGCACAAATCAAAGGGTTTCCTTCTTTCATATTGTTATAAATTGTCATGTAGACATTTGTGCTGTTGCCCATTTCACATTATTTTGCCATACTTGAATTTGTCCATGCCCTGCACCCAAAGGGTCAGTAAAAACTCTTCTGTTGAAATAGATTTCTTACTGTATTTATTCAAAATAAATCACTTATAAATTGTAATTCCTGCAACTGTAGCCCCATTAGGCATCACACACATATCTGCTTGACGTAAGTGCCCAGGAAAAAGAAATGCCATCATAGGCATAATTATAGTAATGTACCCTGTGCTACAGAATACACTCAGAAGGTTTGATATCTCCACTCACTGAAGTTTCCTTTGGATATGGAAAATTTCACAATAGTGAATTATATCACCTTCCAAAAAGGAATTGAGTGTCTGCTTAGTCTTTTATATCAATTCCTCTAACAAATGTTATAGGTATTAATTTACTGAGAATTTATAGCTACTGATCTTTACAAATGTTCAATGTTGCTCAAGATTTTCAACCTCAACTAAAGTAGATAAAGTAGAAATGCTTAATCAGAAATAATGCATTTTATTATCTCACTAATGATATACTGCCATTTTAAATACCAACAATGGCATAGTTGAAATATTCCTTTAAAGCAGAAATTCTGACATAAGCCAATTCTAATTTGGAAAGGTGCTTGGAAATTTTATTTTTTTTGCCTAAGGATTTTACCTGTAAGGGGTATACCAGAGGTCTAAACTTGTGTTTACAATCCACCTGTCACAGAGTGGGGGAGGGCAGCTTGACCTTCTCAACACATCTGCAGGTTGATCTAAGACATACACAGAACCTTTCCAATTGCCCATTTTTGTAGCAATACCTGCATCTCGTGGAAGGGAGGAAACAGAGTTATCTCTCAAATAAACTTCTGGGCCATGCTGGGAAGTTTAGGACTAAGGTTTAGGTTGTGCCTGGGGTTAGAATTAGGGTTGAGACAGGAAGCCCATAGCTCCAGGTGCAGTGGGGGTGCAAGGGGGAGGATCAGTGGTGGGGTAGTCTGTGCAAAGAGCTCATACCAGAACACTTGTTTGTCCCACTGGGATAAACCTGGGCATCTCAGGCTACAGTTCATCCCTTGCCTAGGCTTATATTAAGGTCAGGAGAGAGACAAAGCCAAGAGCTCTGACTGAAAGGCATTGAGAAGGGTTTAAAACCTGAATAAGGTAGGGGAAGACTACACAGCTGCTATCCCTTTACAATTTTCTCCTCTGTGCTATAGGATGGGGACTCTGGACAGGGTAAATCTTTTGACTACTTGTATCCTACTACTTGACCCTTGGACTAGGGCTAGAAAAGAGAGAAAACCAAGATCTCCAAGGGAGCTGAACTTTAAGAGGGACTGTCAAAGGGTGAGGAGACTGCAATTTTTTCCCCCTGTCCACATCTCCTACGGGAAATGGGTGAGCTCTCAGGTCAAGGTCCATTCCAAACACATTGTAGGGTCAGACTTAGGTGAGGCAAAGCCCAGAGCTCCACATGATGAAGCCCTTCCCATTGATAATCAGAGCTCAATCCCTGAAGAATTTTAGGCATGAATGCCAGTGATAATTAGAGTAGCTTCCTGGCAAACCTTTCTCCTGATGGCGGAGTAAAGCTAATACTCAAAATCTCCTAGATAAAAAAGCCTACAAACAGCTCCCAAGGCAGATGATATCTTTTCTCTCTGTCAAATTACATTTCAGCTAATGTCACTGTGTCTCAAGTATTGTGGCAAGAAAAAGGAAACAGTCATGACACTTAAAATGAGGCCTATGGTAATTAATTAAGTATTTAAACCTGAGACAGTATATTAATAGTTTTCTTCATCATCTTTCAACTTTTGAGCAAAGCAGTGATGTGGTAATGCATGAGGCTGGTCTAATTTGCATATGCCATGAACCCTAAGTAAATTAAAATGAGATTTTGTGGGCTGAGTCATGACAATGTGGTCCCACTGATTAATTCAGTAAAGTGTCTCCTATTCAAACTGTAGACACCCTGTGCACTACTCAAACCAAGTGTTTCATAAATCTTGCTGAGAAATTAATGAGTGAACACTCTCTCACAACTACATATTTCTACAAAATAGCAAAATATAATTGAATTTGGGTAATCAATTGAATTATAGC